GGTAACATGAATACTGGAAGTAAAAGGAAAGGAGCTATACTTAAGCTAATTCCTACACCTTCATATCTTGATTGTTTGGCATGTACCTGAATCAAGATTTAAATCTTCTTGCCTGATGGAAAGTTCCAGGGATTCTTTACCTAGCAAGAACCAGATTCATTGACTAAAAACAGGTTCCCAGAACCACAGGGACAAACTCTGGCTTATCTACACCAAAAACCCCATCTTGCAACCTGAGCTTGATAGGTTGGTAAACAGTCGTTGGTCAATAATAGATCAAGTGAAACTCCCCAGTCCTGTCTGTATAGGTCTCAACAGTTTAAAACAATACAACATGTTAGTCGTTGGGCATCAGGTGTGTTTGTAGGCATTTTGAACCTTGGAGCGAGCCAAGCTATCGTTTACCACCTTGCTTCAGGGTGTTTCTACGACACTAAGCACTTAGCACACCTAAATAGGTCTTTTGTTAAAACACAGACTTTGTATTGGTGTGGAACTGCCAATAAGCAGATTTCCATAAAGTTTTAGGTATTTCATTAACTTCTGGAAAACATTATGTGGAAGGATTCAGAGTGGGAGGCATATTAATTCTTACACTATCATTAAGTAGCTTATTGCAAATCTGTGCTGCTTTCATCCTTTGTGCAACACACAGTGATACCCTTATTGGGCTTAGGCATCCCATTCAATGAACATAATGGATTAAAGTAGCTCTTGTTTGTGTGTGTTTGCTACGTTCTTTTAAGTCTGTAGTGATCCTACTATGGAGTTGTGTTTGTCTAACCCTGTCACCTAAGACATATAGCTGGCACCAATGTTGGCTAGCAGTACATGTGCAGCGAGGTGCTGGGTATCTATTCTGCATCAAATGATAGCACTGTTGGCCACCATAGTAAACCTGACACCTTCTGCTTGTCGGATGTCGGATGATCTCCTTAACCAATCCTGAGACTTGCAGACATTGGTTCACACGCTGGCAAAAGGAGATCACTGTAAATTTGGGACTTCAATTTCCCCAGGTCCCCCCTATACACGCACAAGGCCTTTCAATCCGCTTTAAGTTTTTCCTATCTAACTCCTGAACTCAATATGATGAGGGAAATTACAATTATGATATATGTTGTCATAGCAACTTTCATATCTAAACTTGAGATAGCATTTTCATATGGACTCATATTGTATTTTTGTGATTGTTGCCAATGCTGCATGTGCAGAAACTATTTTACTGAATGATGCAGGTAAGCTTGTGCTCATTTTGTGTTTTCAGGAGGGATTCTGTGCATGTGTCCTAATCAAACTTGAATTAACTTCCACCCCTCTTAACCTGCAGCATTGTTGCCACCTATTAAAAGTTTTGAAACCCTCTCAGTTATACAAGAGGATAGAGGCAGTCTGGGAGGATTTCACAATGCGTACCACTGTATATCAGTGACTCACTCCCTTTGTCCTGGCTGCCAGACACCAATAAAAGACGCGGAAAAGCATGCAGAAATTGTGTACGCCTGAGTTGCACACCGTGGCACCACATTTACTGGGCTGCAGGTTTGTCAGGACACAACAAAGAAGACTGTATTGAAGGACCCTTAACGCTGGGATTTTATTTGGCCCCTGGGAAGCTCAGCTGAGACTGCATTCGGTGAGAGGATATGCAGGCACATGTGTGGATGAGGAATTTGTGCATTGTATATGATTGCAAGACGTTTTACCACTTCCTGACTCTTGACCCTTGACTTCAAATTTTTGTAGGAAGGAATTTTGCCTCCTAATGAGGCAGACTAAGAAAATGTGACATTCATGTAGGCACCTTTATTGCAGCTGTACAACAAAAAAGTGTAATTTAAGAATCATTTCTCTAGTTTGATGAATGTCAGTACTGAACTAATCAGGTTGCAGGTTTTACAGTTTTTAATTGTAGACAACTTTCAAGATAGTATCTGTGGAAATGAAAAGATCCTGATGTGTTGTTTTTTTGCTCAAGTAAGCTAATTTCAAAGTGAAACTGGGTGTTGTTTGCAGCAGAAGTAGGGTTGTAGGTATAAGTGTTACATCAGGATGAAATATAGACCATGACAGTGCTATCTAGTCATAAAACTGTATCAACCAAACCATAAAAAAGTTGATTCAAAAACCATAAAAAAGCTGGAGTCAAGAGCAGTTCATTGAATGAACTTGAACTTGAATGAACTGAAAGAACAAAAACAATTAGAGGATATGCTTTCATGCGAGTCAGAATATTACATTAGATATGTTAATCTTTTTTTTCTCTGTTTGGTTTAACTGCCATGTTATGTATCGTCTCCTCTAGCAGATCAATGTTTGGCAGCAGTTGTTGTTGTAATTACCAAGGACCTGAACTGTAGAATAACCAGGAGACATAACATCAGGATGTACTGAACCTAGTGTATCAAACCGTCTCCAAGGACAGGCAACCTTTTCCAGTAAATCCATTCTGACCTCATAAAACCTGTCAGCAGATCATATCAGACTTGCCAAGAAAACAACAAAAGACTGAAGTCACTGAAGTGCTTTTTACAAATGATTACCCCAGGGTTCAATTAATCAGATGAAATAAGAGGTTTTCTATTTGTTTCTCCACCTAATTGCTCAATTAATCACAGAACAGAATGGTGAGCAAGTACAGACGCCTTTCTTACTTTACCTAAACGAAGTTGGATAAGAACAGGATTGGATATTGTTGCAATAGTTCTTTTAAAGGCTGAGTGACAGATTTTTTCCTGCATCCTTTCACAGCAGCTTCAGATGCTGCTCTATGCTGAATTGAAGTGTTCCAATGTTTGGTACAGAAACATGCATAGTACAATTTCTCTCAGTGCACCTTTCCTATAGAAGATGTTGTTTTGTATTGATCTACAGAACTTTTCAATTCTAGACCATTAAAATTACAAAGATGTATCATTTTTATTTTTTATTTAACTAGATTTATAACCCATTGCGATTAAGGGCGCACTCACACTAGGCAATCCGTTTGCTTCAACCCTAAAGTCCAGTTTGTTTGACTTGTGTGACTGCTCCAATCCGTGCTCAGACACTTCCTTGGCCCTGGCCAACTGGAAGAGTTTGTGCTTTGCCACGGTACAGTTCATGCACGAGCACAAACACGGGTACACAACGTGGACAGCCTTCATTATCAAGAAATCCTGGAGCAGTGTGAGTGGGGGGCGGGGGAAGGGCTCAGTCCAGACACGAGGAACAGACCGTTTAAAAACATCACAGGAACACAAAGGCATAGTGGCTTCTGCTTTTTTAAACACATGGTATCAAAAGGTAGCTACGTATTGAACGTTTTGACATCTTTGGGCTTCTTTGGGGCACTTGTCGGTAACACAGTGTGTCATCGGCATAGAGGCTAATCTTCAGTTTGGATTTACGCGGTTGTAGTTGCTGTCTCTGATTAATTGTTGCAGCAGGTTAGTCGTGAAAATGGAAAAACAGATGATTATTTGTTAGTGTAAAACATTTTGATTTAGTGGCATCAAAATGCAGGATTTTTTAAGACCACAAGAGGCGAGTCGGGACACGTTTGCATCCTGCAGCACACTTTGTCTTGTTCTGGTTGTACTGATGTGCCTTTAAACTCTCCGTGCTATAATCCTTTATAACTTCTAAAATCTAAAGCTACAGCCAGGACTGATTCAATCACTGGAAGCCTTTGCTATGTTGGACTGCAAGCTTGGTTCAGTTCTTGAAAGTCGAGGGATTTCAGAACACGAATGAGTACAAAAAAAAACAGGTATGCACGTGTATACCTATCCACAAGTTAGAGCACAATGAGCTCCACTTTTTGCACATGATTTATAAACCAACTAATACAACCTAATATGCCTAATGCAGTTTTCTGAATGAAGGCCAAGCTGCAGAGTGTCAGCTGGAGCCAGGACTTTTTTTACAGTGGCTATAAATGTTCAGCAGAATGACACAGTCCATTAAAATGTGCTGAGAGCTGCTTAAGGTTGCCTAAATGGTTAAGACGCCGAGTGCCTTTATGGGACAGAGTCCACGCTAGGTTTTAGAGGCCGGAGTTTATGTCAGTCTTTAGCAATACTGATGAAGGAAAAAAACAAACCTAAGTATTTGGTTGAACAATGCAGCCTTCCTGATGCAACACTTACAAAACCACTTAATTGTTTTATTCATAATTCAAAACAAAGCGCAGGGTTTCATATCCAAGGACTTTAGATTGCAAAGATTAAAAGATCAAATCATAATAATCCTGTGAACAACTTGTTCAACTTAGAAGTTGGCAGCAATTCAGTCTGATCTTCTGACATGTACAGCAAATCACTTAGACTTTGAATTGCATAGAAAACATACAGCGTGCTAAATTGCAACTTTATATGAAAATGGTCAGAAAGCCCTTACAAAGACGATACAAGTCCAGGGTAAAACCTGCAGGTACAGGGAAATGCTTTATTGATTAGATGTGTCCTTTAACCCACTTCATAATATAACATTGAGAAAATTAGACAAAAAGATGTGGAAAGGAAGCATTGAATGACAAGCACAACATTCGAAATGAATCCCTCTAATAATACTGAAGTTTAAAAGGTCATCGAGTAAAGTTTAAAATGCTGTGCCGTGACATGTTTCCAACTGAAACGAGATACAACCAATCACAAGGTAGAAGGTGGGACATATCGTTGAGACTAAGTTGATTGACTCGTTAGCTTTGAGGCTTTTCAATTGGTAAAAAATTAGCAAACACTGCTGAGTGCAGGACATTTGAGTCATTTTACAGGAAGAGAAAATACACTTATTGTGACGTAAAAACAGCTGATAAATTAACATGTAACTCATGACCGCTGGATTAAAACTTGGAAGAAAATATTTTTCCTTTCATTGGGACTTTTAAATATTTTTTTTAAACAAGATACAGTATTTTTGTTGTGATTATTGTGTGGTCAACTTTACATAAATGATTACAGGGAGGGGTTTTGGGAGGTGTGTCCTTAAGGTGATGATGTCACAACTGGAGGAGGGGCCGGTGTGGCAGCAGGATGCTCTTTTTTTAATAATAGAAGCACGTTGTTTTTGAGTGTTATGGCCGGTTTTTTGTCTTTTTTTTTTTTTTTTTAAGGCAAGCGAAACAAACGTCGTGGGTAGGGTTATTTGTTGTTTCATTCCACCGTTCTTTCACTTACTTGAGGGTCGTTTTGTAACCTGTTAGGCTACAGGAAGTGTTTGGTAAAACTCCAGGCGAGGACCGAACATAGTGTGCTCCCCCTCCACAAATTTGGATCGCGGCGCTGCACCGGCCAGCAGCAGCAGCAGCAGCAGCAGCAGCTCCAACACAGAGCTTGCCCGGAACAAACCATTTCCTCACCCGCGGGGGGGGGGGGGTGGTCGCGGTGCAGAGACCCAACAGGAAACGCAGAGGTAGGAAGTGTAAATGTCAAGTTCTGTGCCATTGCTCATACGACAAACCTGGCGAAGCTTTGTATTGAGGCACATTGTATTGACGTTTGGTTTTAATTAAAGAGCAATGCGAGACTTAACCCCCGCCTGTGCTGATGAGCTTCCTCCTGTTAGCTGAATGTTACCATGAAGGTGTTACATATGTATCCTTCATAGCAGACATAACGGAGCCCATGAGGTGCTACATTGTAATTCTCCTACTCATTTTACCATCATTTCATTGTCTTTAGGGGGTAAGGGAGAGGTAGGGGCTTTGTTGTGCTCGTTATAACGGCATATTGTGGACACATGGCACAGCAGGGGACAATGTGGAGGTAAAGGAATAGTTCAGGTCGGGTCACGTGCTTGGCAACAAGGCAAACACGGTTCTTCAGAAATCAAGCTGCAAGGTTTTTTTTGGTTTTTTTTTTTTTCTATGCACCCTAAAGGTAATGCTGCTAAAACCTGCGTCTGGTATCCACTTACAAGGTAAAGAAACAAGAAGTAAACAAGCTGTCTAAACGTGCGTTGTTCTGAATACACCATAAACAATACCCCCGTGAAACCACATTAAATGACACCATTGTTGTTAAGTTCTCCATGTAGTATATTCAAAGTGTGTTGGACTTTATAAAGGTCATTTTTAGGACTTACACCCCAGGCGTCATTGTTTTCCTTTCTTCTCCATATTGTGGTTTCTGAATGAGTTTAACTTCCACTCCAAAAGTTATCAGCTGTCAGTTTTGCTTTTGGAAAATGGGGCCAATGAAGTATGTCTAATAAAAGTGCCTTTTATTTTGAAAGGGACAGACTCGGACCCTTTGCATCTCACAGGCAGCGTCACTGAGAATGGATGAAAAATGTTGGTTTTTTTTGTTAAAGTGAGGTTGCTTTATTCATCCAGAAACAGACACGGGAGTTGCTGGTCTACTGTTTGATTTGTTGTTTCAAATGGTAAACAATCCAGGGTTGTGGCGGATCAACAACTCCTGTTTTCTGCAGTGACAAGTGATGCTCTCACGTTGGGTAAACAGAGCATTAGTGTTGTCAGACAGTTTGAGGAACAATTTTGCCTGTGACAAAAAACGAGAAGCGGTTTCAGCGGCTGTGCGTTCACTGAACGCGTCTTTTCACCAAGAGTAGGTGGCAGGCAATTCGACAGCTGCGGCTGAAGCAATCTACTCAAAACTGTTTGGTACCGAGGAGTCGTGAAGAACCCTTCCTGGTAGAGTTGGTCTTCCCTCAACCAGAAGGTTCGATCCCCAGACACTTATCCCTAAATTGCTGTGTATGAGTGGGATTACATAAAACTGATGGACACTTGACATAGCAGCCTCTGCCTTCAGTGTGTGAATGTCCAGGTGTGACCTGCGCGATTCAAGCTCAAGTCCTTTTACTATTTGGAGGCTTTAGTCCTCCAGACAGGCGGCCTGGGTTTGAATCCCCACTCTCTCTCTCTCTCTCACCTGACTTCTGACTCTATCCAATGTCCTGTCATTCTAGTAAAGGCATAAAAAGAAAAATAAACACCAGAAGCATCAAATGTGGATATTTTTGCCATGTAAAATGAATCTGGTCATGATTATCTTCCTGAAATCAACTTAATTTGAGGTACTTGGAGTAAACACACATACATGCTATTTATAACTTTGTACTCCAGAGTTTGCATAATGGTCAACAGGGAAGTGTCTTTTCATGAATCAGTACTGTGAGAGAAATAATCCACTGACGAATCCAACAGCCGAGTCCTTGAGCGTGCTGTGAGCACTGATAACGGACACACACCCTCGCACGTCCATCCTTGAGACACACACACACACACACACATCAGATAAGTGAGGTTACCAAACCAACCGTTAGAAAAGTACACCCAAATTTTGTTATTTGCTGCCGGCTGCAAGGATGTGAGTCAATCTGGCTTCCTTCACGTTTACCATTTGTCTGTATTTTCTGGAGCGCTTGTACATGTTTGTTTACGCTCTGTTGTTTGTTTGTTTTTTCCCTGTCCTTCTTTCTTCAGGGGTGTTTTTGTGTCTCTGCCAGATCCAGTCATGGCCGACAAAATACCGCCAGAGCAGGAAAACCCGCTGCTCCAACATAAGGGCCTACCCAATGGGAAAGAAGGCACCAAAGACGGGCTGCAGGCGAGGGGCGAGTGGGCCAGCAAGGCGGAGTTTCTCCTGGCCGTCGCGGGGCAGATCATCGGGTTGGGCAACGTCTGGAGGTTTCCTTACCTGTGCTACAAGAATGGAGGAGGTAAGGCATGAGGGATAGAGGAGGAGGAGGAGGGGGGAGTTAGAGCTAAAAGGTTTTCTGATGGTTTTCCTCGACCTCCCGTCTTTATTTTCTATCTTCCATTTCTGTTTCCTTCCAAGAGCTAAAGATGACATTTTCAAGATGTTTGAGAGAGCTAAGAATGCATGCCTTTTTGTATTTTCACACCTCCTGACTGTGAAGACATGGATTAAAAAAAAGCCTCAGAAATGTCCCCGTTATACAGATTTCTAAGGGTTAATATTCAGATAAGTTCATGTGTCCAACTATTTAAGGGTTAATTTTGGGTATTTCTTTGTTTAAGGGGTGAAAGTGTAATGTGCTTGTTGAAACCAGTGGTAACAGTATCCGCCCCCCACCCCCCCTGTGTGTCCAGGTGTGTTCTTTGTACCCTACCTGTTGTTCCTGGTGTTGTGTGGCATCCCCCTCTTCCTCCTGGAGACCTCTCTGGGACAGTACACAAGCCTGGGAGGAGTCAGCGCCTGGAGGACTATCTGCCCGTTGTTTGGAGGTGCGCTTATCTAAACACATCACCAGTTTGCTATTTTAAGCTGCAGTGTGTACACTGTGTTGTAATGACTATTATGTCTTTTAGTTTGATTTACATTCAGATTTCTGTCTCACATAATCACTCAATTGTTTTCACACTTTTCCTACCTTGCTTGGTTTGTGTACTTTCTGTTATTTGCTGCACAAGCAGGTTTTTAATTAGCGTTAACCATGTGAAATGGCATTTATGCAATTTACACGCTCTCAGAGAGGATGCACCGCAAACTCCACAAGTCCTTGAATGCATCGACTGTGATTAGACGCCTCCGAGCGTTTTAACCCCCTGATGCAGGCATGGAGGGACATTCCTTCATCACATGGTGATACTATGTTATCTTCTGCAACAATAAGGCTTTGTAAACGGTTACATAGATTTTTGTGGATGCTGCAGGATAAACTACCACTACAATTTACATTAATGTTAAAGAATGTATTTGCTTCTATGTTAAGGTGAGGCTGTATGAATATTCACACATTATCTCAAGACAATCAAACACTCATTCCCCCTCCCACGTCTTGTTGCCATTAAATTCTTGACAAAAGCAGAAATGAATATATTTCTTAGGTCATTTTCGAAATCACTTCTATTGGGAAATAAAGAGGATATGCTGTTGACATACCAAAGAACTGCATCGTGATGTGATGACTGATGGGATGGAAAATTTGAGATTTTAGCCCAAATGAAGCCTCTTTTGTAAGCAAGATGTTAAAGGTCACACATCCTGCAAAATACTCTTACACCACTAGTTTGTGTCCCTATAGTCCGTCTACAAATGAGAGAAGTCCTTCCTCCGTCTTTTCCCTGCTCCATTTTTCAGAAAACGTGTGCTCAAACTGAGAAGTTCCCTTTGTGACATCACAAAGGGCAGTAGGCCCTCCCCCAGGTGGGTGACACTCCCACAGCTAGGAATTAGTTCTGCCCTCTGAGTCCGCCTTCTCACCGTAAACAATTGGACATGGTGAGCTACATCCCCTTCCAGAGAGTGGGCGTGGTCAGACACAGCTCATTTGCATATTTAAAGCTACAGGCACAGAAACAGCCTGTTCTGAGCAGGGCTGAAATAGAGGAGTTTATCGGCATGATCAAATACAGGATCAGAGTGGATTTAGAACAAGACACTTCACAGACTTGCGACATTGGGAGCTCTGAGACTTATTTACACTTGTTGAAAAGGAGGAGAATATGTGACCTATAAAGAACGTGAAAAAATTAAGATGCAAGTAACATTATATATTTTGCAAAGCAAATGAATTAAGCTCTAACACACATCGACAGCTGCACAGTAATAATTGGCTCCAATGCTATGGTAGCACGACTTGATGCTCGCCAACATCTGTCAGTGTCTCTCACTTTATTGTTTCCCCCTCTGTCTCCACCATGTCTTTTCATTTTCACTGTCTCCTTTTCCTCGAATTTTCCCCCCTAATCTTTCGCCGCACTGGCGCTAATGTTCAAAGCATTCCTGCGTCCACATCAATACAAACCCTTATGAACAATCTGTCTGCGATTGGAAAAATTGGCATGCCGTGCCAGCCAAATGCAAGTGCGGATCATATTCAGTCTTAGCTTTCTGATGTATCAAAACAACTAGAAGGTGACATGCGAGCCAGTGAAACACCCAATTCAAGTTGTTAGACTTGGTTTCACGGTTGCCTGCAATCCAAACGCAGCGTCACAGAACATGCCGTGACCAGTTTGATGTCATTAAGAGACATAAAACACTGTGTAAAGATATTGAGGCTTAACACATGATACATCTGGAATTCTGAGGGAATCTGGCTTTCACGAGTAAACATTACAAGGTTGGAATGCATTAAAGTGTGAGGAAATGTTCACTGTCTTTAACAGCTACCACGTGTTCACAGTTTATTTTGGATATCAGCTGGACTGTTCGTATAGAAAGTCAACAAGAGGAAATGCTTATTGGTGGATAAATGATAAGAATGCATGAGCAGCAGTAAATGTCCATTCTGCTCTGACATGGACCAACATCCTGAGTATGATTCTTATTGGCTGACTGAGCTGTGGTTGGTAAATGGAAAGTGCTGTGGCTCAGTGGAAGAGCCACCAATTGGAAGGTCGGCAGTTTGATCCCTGGCTCATGCAGTCAACATGTCGAAAGTGAACGTGGGCAACAACCCGAACCCCAAGACATTGGTCCATTAACCATTCGAAAAACTACGTTTTAACATGATATGGCAACACAAAACATCACATAAGCCAAACCATTCATTGTATTATATATTCCTTAATCACATCTTTGGTGCGAGACATCTTTGGTTACTCCTTGAAACAAAACTCAACCTTACAGGGTTTTCCCCTCGTGGTCTATCTTGCAGACTTCAAAACAAAATCTAGACCTCCAGGACATTTCAGTCTCTTGTTTTGGAGACTCTGATTGTATCACATGAGCTCCAACTTGTCAATAAACACTCTATTTGAAAAGTATGTGACAGTTTTCATGTCTACAGAACAGTGAGTGCAATTGTTTCAAGGAACAAAACGTTGACTTAATGGCCTCGTAAAAAAGAGTAGCACTGGAGCCGATTCAGTGTTTCCGGAATGATCCTTCGAGGGCTTTTTTTTTTTTTTGCCTTCATTGCACGTAACACAACTCGGTGTAACCTCGCAGCCATCTCCTCAAAGCGAATGTAACTCTGAGAAAAGTTCTCCAAGCAGATTCTAGTTTCTCTTCCTTGCAGTGCGGCTCGCAACGCTTAGTAACCATGGAGACGGAGAAGGCTTTGAAGAGTTCAGAATGTTCCTGTGAAACGAATTACTGTTCAATTCAGAGCTCTTAAAGCAGGCCTTGGCGTTCTTTTCTTTTTCTACCATCGAAATGACAAAAATGTAGAGGGTGCTTCAGTGCTGCTGGGTCCATATGGCCTGCAGATGCACACGCTCCAGTGTTATGTTGGCAGCTACTAATGCGACGGCCATGTGTTTGGAGCACGAGGACAACCTCTGCAGACACAGGCCCCGCTGCAAACATGCGTTTGTCCACAGACACAAACAAACCCGACGCTTCTGCAGGAATTCCTCGCTCGTCGGCACATTTCATTTACCGTCATTAGATGGAGGCCTGAATTTCATTAGAGGAGACCACAATCAGCGACTCTGTCTGCTTTCTGAACCCACTCAAGGCGTCATGAGAGTGTCATTCACTCTTAACGAAGACAAACAGGATGTGGGCTGCAAATCGAGGGCCTCAGTGAAAGCATTCTTTCATTTGAAACTGGAGTATAAAAGAATAACTGTGTGTGGAAGGCTTTGACGCTGAGCAGCTTTTGTAAGTCATCTCAACCTGTATCTTCTTCTACCCCCCCCGCAGGTCTGGGCTACGCGAGCCAGGTGATGATCCTGCACGGCTGTGTGTACTACATCGTCATCCTGGCCTGGGCGCTCTTCTACCTGAGCTACAGCTTCCAGGCGGAGCTGCCGTGGTCGCACTGCAACAACACGTGGAACACGGGTCAGTACGGCCTCGGCTGTTAACTGAGAGAGCACAGATGATTCATCGTGGCTGAATCTTTTCTGTGAGGTTTCAAGCGAAATATAAAAATGGTTTTTGCCACTTCCTGTTCTGTTGGAGTCACATAAGATGATGAGAATTCTTTTACGACTCTCTGACATTTAAGACTGGAATCAGCTGATTCATCGAGAAGTACTCAACAGATAAAATGATGACCTCGTCTTTAAAAATGTAGAATCTGCACACGAGGGTCTGGATTTCCAGCTTGGGAAGAGTTCTGGTTTCTTTTTGTGGTGTATTTTGTAGTCTGAGCTGCATTGACCAATCAGCAGGCTTTGTTGTGTGCACCATAGAAAAGTCTGTATAGAGAGCAGCAAACACAAGCCACTAGCCACAAACCGCTTTGACGCCGTTTCCTCATAGACCTTTTTAGAATCTGACTTTTTTGTTGCACTACCTGAAGACTTGACCCCTCCGTGTGTTTGTGTGTGTGTGTGTGTGTGTTCTCCTGCAGAGTCGTGTTTCCTCTTTGACCAACTCAACAAGACGACCAATGTGACCAGCCTGCCTGAGAACGCCACCTCGCCTGTCATGGAGTTCTGGGAGTGAGTGTCTCCTTAAAGGCTTCTCAGTCGTAGATTTGTGCGTCCCTGTCGTGCATTAACGTGTGTGTGTGTGTGTGTGTGTGTGTTCCAGGCGGGAGGTGCTCCGGCTCTCTGACAGTTTGGACGAGCTGGGTCCGATCAGCTGGAAGCTGGCTCTGTGTCTGGCGGTCGTCTGGCTCGTTTGTTACTTCTGCGTCTGGAAGGGAGTCAAGTCCACCGGAAAGGTGAGCAGAAAGCTCTGCAGCGTCATCGTCCCTGCAGGAGGTCGAGTGCTTTTACCTCCACGCCGGTGCTATTACAGCATCAGGGCCGTCTCGTGGTTTTGTTCTCTGAAACAGCAGCAGGGTCACAGGAGGCTGATTACATCATATCAGTGCAACAATGAGAAACATTTCATCACAGATGTATTCCTCTCAGCCTTCTTAGTTATCACGTTGCTCCAGATACAGTCACTTCTTACACATCTGCTGGAGTTACTTTAATCTGAACCGAGAGTGAGCAGCAGACGAGGGCAAGCGTGACTCGAGGGACAAAGGTCTGTACGTCACGACTTTCACCGTCGGCTGAGAGCTCAACAGACGGTACCAGAAGAGCTACACGGCTGCACAGAAACTGCAGAATTCACAATAAAAATCGTCATGCAGGTAGACAGTTTGAACCTTTTTTTTCTCGCTGGGAGATCTCCAAAGTCACACCTTTTTTAGGAATAATGCAGAATTCAAAATGTGATTCCACATCAGTGACCCAGAGAGGAGGGAAATGAAGGACGCCGGTCGTCTTCTTTATTTGGTTTGAAAATGTCACTGCTTACATTTTCTCTTTCTTGTTTGCTTTGTCACTTCCACCATCCGTCAACAGCTCTAAAGAATTTTTTTTCCAGGGTTTCCCTCTTTTAGCATCTTCGCTCTGTCCGAGGACGTCACAGACTTTCTCTGTCCCTGTTTCCATCCTGACCACATCCCCCGCTTTCCTCTCGCTGTGTACATTCTAGGTGGTGTACCTGACAGCCACCTTCCCGTACGCCATGCTGTTTGTGCTGCTGGTGCGCGGTGCCACGCTGCCCGGAGCCATGCAGGGAATCATCTACTACCTCAAACCCAACCACACCCGTCTGGCAGACCCACAGGTAGAAACACACACACATACGCACAGGTTGGATGTATTTAAAAAGTGTCTGATGGAGTCTACAGAAGTTCTTCCAGTCTGAGGGTAAAGCAGCTCACACAGGTAGAGGGCTCAACCTGCCAGGTGAGGTTTGTTAATGTCATGTTTCTGCAGCTTTGTTCCCCAGTGAAGAGACACAAAGAGTCACAACACACTGAACAAATAACTACAGCAGTGGCGCACACAAAAAAAATCTTCGCTTTAGCTCATCTTTATCGGGAATAAACCACATCTGATGATTTCTGAAAAGTCAAAATGACCCTAAAACCACGTGACACACAAGGCGACCCTCAATCTAAAGTAAAGTGCAATGCTTTTTTTTTTTTATGAAACAAGTGCTGTTTGTCTCGGGATGAATTTTTTTTGTGCAGGAAAATGAAAAAGTATTTAGAATTTCCCAAAACTGAATTAAGGTACGATACACTTCATTGTCCTTGTAGGAACATGTGTCTTCATCTCATTTAGCCGACTCGACAGTCGTGACAACAATAACAAGCCCCTGTTGTCTCGCCCTCCTCTCTGTCTCTCTCTCTCTCTCTCTCTCTCTTTTTGTTTTTCACACAGGTATGGATGGATGCAGGTACCCAGATTTTTTTCTCGTACGGGATCTGTTTGGGAAGTCTCACAGTGCTGGGCAGTTACAACAAATACAACAATGACTGCTATAAGTGAGACACTTTTGCGATGCATGAAACACACAAACAGCTACTTTCACCCCTACTCACTGAAAGTTAGGATGTAGGCTCCCCTCTGGTCAGACTTCCACAAGGAATGGCTGGAATGGACAGAGAAAATACACTGATGCAGCCACACCTTTTAGAGAAAGCCCTCGCTGCCATGTTTCCCCACAGACACACACTGAAAGAGCCAGGCACTTAAACTCCAGACTGGTATTTACAGTTTCAGACCAGAGCTCTTCAAAACAAGGACAGAAACCTGGACTCTGTTGTGTGCCACTTTCACTAAACACTCTTTTTTTTTTTTTTTGTGTGACACTTCTCCTGCCGAGTGTTCCTTGATGTTTTTGTAGTGCTAAACTGTCTTTGCTCCTCCAGGGACTCTTTCCTCCTGTGCCTCCTGAACAGCGGCACCAGCTTCCTGGCAGGTTTTGCCATCTTCTCGGTGCTGGGCTTCATGGCTGAGGAGCAGGGCGTGGACATAGCCACCGTGGCCGAGTCAGGTGAGACAGGAAAAGAGGGGTGGAAGGAGTCATAATCCCAAGCAGGAGTGATGAGGTCTTGTTTCAGAGCGGGGTTGTTTCGTATCTGTGCAAGATAAGCGGAATCATTTTGCATGTATTCCTCTTGTTTACGTCATCCATTTTTGACTTCCTGTTTTTGCATTTCCTCTCAGGTCCCGGCCTCGCCTTCATCGCCTACCCGAGAGCCGTCGCCATGATGCCTTTCCCTCAACTGTGGGCCGTGTGCTTCTTCCTCATGATCATCATGTTAGGGCTGGACACACAGGTTGAAAACACACACACACAGTCTGACATTGAGTCTTCTTTTTGTGTGTTGTGGAGCAAAACTGAGCCCGCCCTCTTTTCACCGCCAACAGTTTGTGAGTCTGGAGGCCCTGATGACGTCAGTGGCGGACCTGTACCCTCACCTGATCCGACGAGGACACCGCCGGGAGCTGCTGCTGATGTTCGTCTGCATCGTCTGCTTCCTGGTCGGGCTGGTCATGGTCACGCCGGTACGTCGCATTCAGGGTCGCGTTTAGTGACGTTCACACGCTCGCTTTACGACGTGGTTAACGGGCTTTTCTTCTACTTGCAGGGAGGTCTGTATGTGTTCCAGATCTACGACCATTTCTCCTGCAGCGGAGCCAGCCTGCTGCTTCTCTCCATCTTTCAGTCCCTCGCCATCGGCTGGGTCTATGGTAAGAACCTCAGCTCACCTCCTCTCCTGTCCTCTTCTCCCCATTCCTCTTCTCCTCATTCCTCCTTTTCTTGCCGTATCTTCTTCCCCTATCTCCTTGTTTCCTTCTATCCTTCAAGTTTCTATCCTCTTCTCTTTCTTCTCTTGCCCTTTTTGCTCATCTAACCTTTATCACTCTCCTCTTCTCTTATCTCCTCTCCTTTTTCTCTTCCTTTACTCTCTCCTCTATGTCATGTTTCTCTTTCCTCCTCATTTCTCTTTTCCAATTTTCCCATGTCTTTCATTTTCTTCTCCTCTCTTTTCTTTCTTCTTCTCATCTCATTTTTTCCTCTTCCCTCTTCTCTCCTTCCTTCCTCACTTTTCCTTACCTCTCCTTCCCTCTCTTCTTATCTCCCTATGTCTCCTCTTTTCTACGCTCCGACCACTTTCATCATTAGCTTTCCTTCTTCTTTCTTTTTTTTTTTACCCTGAATCACATCGATCCTTTAATCTAGAACTCATTATAAAGAGTATGTTGAAAATATGCCGCCATTATTCCACGTCTGAATTTAATTAAAATCAGTCGGAGTTCAATAAGTCTCACAGCAGGAATCTGCAAAATCAGGAAATAAAACGTAGGAACAATGCCAATAGTTACCGCTCCGTTTTAACCCTCCACTAATGAAAGTAGTCCCCAGAATCTGATAAACACACACAGTCGCCGGTCCACTTCCTCCCCTCTTTCTGCATTCCAGCGCGAGGCAGTAGACAGTATATTAACGTGGCTGCAGCTACCCACTGTTGTAAGAAGACTGGCTCGTAGCCAGGCCCCTGTCCGTCTCCTCCGGGGGCCCTAAATCAGCCCCCGGGGCCCCGTCGCCTCTCAGTCTGGCGTCCCCAGGGAGCCCCTATCCCCGCCAGACCTGGGGCCTCATAGCATTAAGAAAAACATTGTTTGTTTAAGAGCGATATGGTACCTGCACCAGGTAGTAGGTGCTAGCTCGTTCAGCCAATTGACCGTAAACACAGGTTAGCTAACAGGACGCTTGTGAGTTTTCTTTTAGACAATCTATCAATCTGTGTTTCTATTTCTATCTAGGTCATGCAGAGTTGTCGTCATGATCCCTGGAAAGTTCGATTATGACAACAAATACTGCGGCGCAGTTACCACCAACTCTCTCAGCGGACAGTCATTTTTTCATGTTTGTAAATTAGACAATGAGCCTGATTTGCGTTGAAGGGGGACAGTTTTGCCTGGACTGCATGTTAGCTCATTTAATTATACTGAGTGTATAATTGTATCTGTTTTGATCCCAGGTTTTACAGTGTGTGCGTGTTCTGTTTCTCATAACCCCGTATTAGTGCAAAATTGCATCACTCTGCCTCTGTTGCACGCTCAACATTTACTCTAATTTTTGGGTGAATTCCGATCCGTGAAGTTCCAACTCCCCACCTCTGGACACTTGGTAGAGATGTAAGACCAAGATAATGTTTTGAAAAGTCAGTCTGAGCAGTAACAAAGAAGTGTGTGTGTGAATATGAATACCAACGAAGCCTGTTTTCTATGGCTCTCTCAGCAGTAGGTGAGCGGAGCAGCAGACTTGAGGAGAGGTTTTTTTGTTTTGTTTTGTTTTTCTTGAACTGGGTAACAGCGGTCAGGACTCCAGTCCACCTCTCCTGCCCCTTTTAATGACTGTGAAGTACTCCAGCATTCACTGCTGCTGCTGGTTTACGCCGCCCTGAAGGACTTTCTCCTCTGCTTAGACTCTGTTGCTTCAAAAAAAGAATACCTTCCTTTACTTGATGATTCATAAAAATGTGAAAACTTGTGCACTGTGTTGCTCTTATTTGAAATATAATAAGAGATTTGTATATGCATGGACTGTATTTCAAAATGCTCTAAACAACTACTGATAATAAACACACCTACAACTAGTGGCAAACAGTAGACAATACTCTGTTCAGTTAAATAATTGTTTTATCCAAAAGCCTTTTTCCACAGCCTTCCTCTGTGGCAAAAAAAAAGAGAAAGAATTCAAACCAAAGTGGGCCAAGCCAGTCCTAAACCAAACCCTACACTTCAAACCAAACCTCAACCACCTTTTGCCAAACTTGTTCTTGTTTCGTCCCACAGGAGCCGAGCGCTTCAGTGACAACATCAGGGACATGACGGGCTACAACCCCCTGCCCGTCTTCAGAGTGTGCTGGAAATACTTGACCCCAGCTGTGTGCACTGTGAGTATCCCCTCCCCGTTGGCCTGCTTTCACACTGCTTTCACACTGCTGTTATGAAATAGTATACACATACACTCATGCCTGGGATGTCTTACAAATTCCTCAGTTTGCCTGTAAATAAGAAGTCTTGATCCCGGGACGTATAAGATGTCTGTCTGTGTCGAAATACTCCAAGAGGTTAGCAACACTAGATTTAAAGGGAAAGTTCTACATTTGCCAAGGGACGGCTGTGGCTCAGAGGTAGAGACAGTCCTGTAGGTCGGGGGTTCAATCCCCAGCTCCTGCAGCCACATGTCCAATGTGTCCTTGGGCAAGACACTGAACCCCAAGTGGCTCCTGCTGCTTCAGCGGTGGGGTATAAATGTGTGTGAATGGGATTAGTTACTTCTTACATATCAGCTTCTGTCATCAGTGTGTGAATGTGCTGGTGTGACCTGCAGTTAAAAGTTCTTTGACTCGTCAGAAGACTTGAAAAGCGCTCTACAAGCTCAAGTCCACCTTCCACAACAGCTAGCATGACGTGGCTATGTACTTGTTAGCCTCCCAGACGAAAACTTTTGCTAAGTTCTTTGTAAAAAAAAAAAAAAAACAATCTATTATCTGTAAACTAATGTAGGATCAGTTGGCGAGAGAAAAATGTCCTGGATTCAATTTGTTGGGTTACAGACCAAAAAAGGGCGGAACGCGTTGACCAATTGCAACCCAATGCACAGTCTGACGTTGTTGCATGTACAAAAAGCGGTCACTATTGGCATGGAGCATGTACATTGGCTACACCAAAGCTTGAAGTACCTGCCATCACCCCAAGAGGTGAAGTGGTCACCAGACAATTGCAGATGGGTACCTCGATTGAACAAGATGAAAGGTGGATTAAGCTCCTTGTGCTCAGCTAACTGACTGCCGGATTCACCTTTGCATTAACCATGACGGTATCCATCCTGACAACGTTGAGCCCAACTGAATATGGTACCATTGCATCAGCCTGATCAACGTGCATCCAAAGCCATCGTGTTGTGATTTCCTATTTGCAAAGTGACCCAGTCCTACCCCGTTCTGTCCCCTGGCAGGCCACCTTTATGTTTTCACTGGTGCATTGGTCTCCTTTAAAATTGGGGAAAGGTTTGGTCGCTCCGGCCTGGGCCAGCACGCTCGGCTGGATCCTCACACTTTCCTCCGTCTCCCTGCTTCCCATGTGGGCCATCTTCGCTCTTGCCACCACCCCGGGGACTCTGGCAGAGGTATTATTAAACTTGCTTTTTTTTTTTAACCAATCAAATTGAATGTTTTAAATTCTGTTCGTTAAGATGTCATCTCACTGTGACTTGTTTGCTCCCCCCAGCGGTTCCAAATTCTGTGCAGCCCCGCCAAACAGTTACCACTGTCCCTCCGGCACTTCCCCTCCAACAACTCGTCGCTGCCCTACAGCTCTGCACTGCCGCTGACTGACAAGCCAAAGGAGCCGATCACAGACATCATCCAGGACCGACTGACCTGATGATGGTCGGTGACAATGAACCGTTGGTCAGCCAATCAGGTGTGGCCAAGGGGAGGGTCGAGGTTAGCCACTGGGTCGCGATTCAGCAGCTGGAACCTCGTCAAAGGGAGCGTCTTAACGGAAGCGAGAAGATCTTACGACTGCAGCGTTGTTTGCCTGAGGACATCTTTGCAGCCATCGGTATCCCACAATCCACTGCACAGTGATCCACTCTTAAATGAAACATTTGGCTGATTGCCGTCGATACACTAAGGTGATTTCTGGATGTTTTGTATGAAGATGTTGACCAATGAGAGAAACAGCAGGTTTCTTAACTGATCATTGAAGATGTTGCACACATCAACCAAAAACATGGCGACATTTCCTGCTGGCTTTCAAACTGAAATACCAAAATATGCATTAGCCTGTTGCTCAACTATACAATCCTCACCTGAATGCACTCTGGTTTTGCTGCCTTTGGAGGTTAGACTGCATGATTCTGGGAGAAGCAATAAGTCCAGTTCAAACCTCCAGAGCTCAAAACAGGATCTTTTGTGAGGGTCCGGTCCTGAGTCGAGACACAGCTTGCTTTAAGACCTGCCCCCCCCCCCCCCCCCCCCGTTACTGGCTACCAGACTTTGTTCTTCTCCTCGATCTCAACCACCTCGACTGCTTATAATCTATTTTATTTACTAACTGAATCACTGTACATGTGGACCATTAAATCACTGCGCCTATAGCCATCCAGCATTACGAAGAAACCTTCCACTTTACTCTCTATGAGAGGTCACCGCTTGTGTTTGCACGCATTCTTAGCTCTGACTCTCCTGTGTCATCTGAAGTGGCTCTTGTGTTTTTTATACCGGGATCTGTCTGGTCTCATTCTGCCTTTTATTTGTTTCTTACCCCTCTCTGGTTTGAATGCTTCATAACATGCCTTAGACCCAGACCAAGTGGTGCCCAAAAACCACCGTTTACAGCCAATATGAATGAAGCACTTCACTCGACGTCTTGGTCCAAACTGACAGAATCAGTGTCACATATCCATCCCTCAAAAAAAAGTAGGCAGGAGAGATTTTTTTACTTCTGTTTTTAAAGTTATTTTATTTTTTGGTTTTAAGCTAAGGAAGGGGATGAGGGCCACATGGAAAGAGATCCTCCATTTGTATTTATTTTTAAATCAAACTTTACATTCTTACTGACTTCTGAGAATAAAGCTGGAGATCTACTGACTCTACCTTTAAAAACAAAGTACTCCGTTTTAAATCAGAATATTGAGTTCAGCCTTAAGATCCTGAGAATAAAGTTGGACATCAGAGATTTATGTGGATAATCTAACATTTAAATTGCAATTTTACTTTTAAGTTTGATATCAAAATTGGATTTTACATTCTGGGAGAACGTTGCAGCTCTGAGTTAAGACTTTTCAATCTGACGTCCGTGTTCAAAATCTGTGAATTTGGTCCCTGAAAAAAAGATTTCTTAGACCTACAAGTTTGATTTTGGGGTTTTAAGTCCAAATTCTGAGTTTACAGTTGAACATCAGAGAATAAAAAAACATATTTTTAATTAGATCAGAATTCAGAGGATAAACTAGGAATCTGAGCGACAGGTGGAGCTGGACACACCTCACCGACGACCTACGATCTCCTTGGTGTGTCGGTGCCTTTAAAGTTGGGGAGCTCAGATTAAAGATGGAATTATGACTCTTAATTTACAACCCAAATACCTTTCTCATGTGGCACTTGTCCTTTTTTTTTCTCCGTGAAAAACGCACAAAATTCCAGTGCAGTTTCTGCCAAACCAAAGGCAAAACTTGCACATCTATGCACTGTACCAAAAAAAAAACAACGATCACTAATCTAGTTGGGAAATCATGCAATCGTCTAATCTGAACTGATTCAGATTAGAGGCTAATTCTGTGGGGTTAATTCAATATGAAAATGTTGCTGCTGCTGTGTTGATAATATCAACACAGCAAATCCTTTTTTTTATTCTATGCCCAAAATATTTAACTTACAATATTTAAATAGGTTTTTACGAGCTGCAAAGTAGCGCTGCCGCTCCTGGAGGTTACAGCGTGTTGAACTGTAACATGGCGGTAATATGCAGTGGGACTTTGGAGTGGCAAATACAGAAATCAGCTGTAAGTAGTGAGGGGATGTTAATATTCTTTAAAGCGAATGCAGTATGTAAATGTCAAGAATGAGTCCAGCTTTTGTAGAATTATGTCATGATTGTTTAGTTTTTTTTGCCTTCGTTAGCCTTCTGATGCAGAACGACATTAAGGGTTTTACAATGAACACATATGTTGAATGAAAATAAAGACGTCTCTATACCATATACTACTTCAAAACCATTTGCCTTATCTTGGTAGGCAAAATCACTTCAAGTCAATATGCTGGTTTCCATGTATCATTCAGAGTAAAGATGTTTCAACACGGTGCAGTATTGGGGCCAAATCCGGGGGAAAAAAAATCGGGATATTTGAACGATAAAATCCTAAAGTTCTGAAAATAAAACCGTACGAGAAGAAAGTCATAATTTATGAAGAGTCGACATATCATGAGAATAAAGTGGTAATTTAGTGAATAATGTTGTACAATGAATATAAGAAAGTCGTAATTTTTCCTGCAAAGTCATAAGAGAAAAGTCGTAATACAACGACAATTAAGTCCTATTTTACGTCAAACAGCAAAGTATAAAGTCCTTAAATAACGCAATAAACTTGTAAATTACATGCAAATAGTCGTAAGAGAATAAAGTTGTAATATGACAAAGTTCTACTTGCAATAAAATAAGAGAGTTAAGTTGTGAAAAATGGCTTTCTTAATTTACGTGAAAAAATTTGCAAGTCCTAATGTAACAACGATAAAATTGTAATTTACGTGAAAATAAAAAAATATATATTGTATAAAGAATAACATAATATAATGACAATAAAGTTGTATTTATGTGAACAAAGTCGTAAGAGAAATCGTGATTAGACAGTCGTAATTGACGTTAAAATAGTTGCAAGAGAACAAAGTCGTACTATGACGACGATGAAGTCGTAAGTTACGTGAATAAAGTCACGAGAGAATGAGGTCATCACGAAAGTCGGAAATTCCGCGATTAAGTTGAAGGACAAAAAAGTCGTCAAAGCAAAAATACAGTTGTAATTTACGATAAATCTAATGACGATAAAGTAAAAATTTACGGGGACATAGTCGTAAGAGAATAAAGTCCTAATATAATGACAAAAAGTCGTTAATTTGAATAAAGTCGTTGGAGAAGTCATGACAACAAGACGTTTGTACTTCATGTTAAAATAGTTGCAAGAGGGAAAAAACGTACAATAATGACGATAAAGTTTTGAGAGAATTAGTTCATCATGAAAAGACAATAAAGTTGTTAATTATGTACATATAGTTGCAAGACAACAACGTTTTTTTTCTGTCATATGGCCCCAATAATTCATCGTCTTTAGAACGATTGATTCAGCCTTTTCTGCTGTCATCACCATGCCGTCTTTTCAGAGTCTCTT